CCGTCCGTCTGTCCGTCCGTCCGTGTAAACCTTGTAATCAAACTACAGCAATTTTGAAGATAATTCTATAAAATTTTGCATGATCTTCTATTGTACTAGAGACGGATCCTATTGAAAATGTGTAACATCGGTCCAATACTTGACCTAGCCCCCATACAACTGAACCCGCCGAATAGGGCTTTTAAGTTCATAATTATGTTTAATATACTCGTATCTCGACAAAAAGCTGCAAAGCCAAGTTCTATACTAGCCTTCATGACCCTGATGTATTTTTTGATGATACGGCCTCATTTGACCCTAGCTCCTATACAAAGCCCCCTTCGAAATATGACTTAAATGTACACAATTTTATTCAACAAAAAATAAGGCAAGGTACAATTCAACTTAGATGCTTTATTATGAACAATAAATCACATTTTATTTTATAACTGGTGTAGGGTATTATATGGTAGGCTTCGCCCAACTATAACTTCTTACTTGTTAACACATCGAAATGTTGGTCGTAGACCGACCCAAAAAGTATACACATTCTGTGTCTGTAAGCTAAAAACACGAGTTAGAAGACTCATTCCATTTGTGATGCAAATTTGGACCAAAATTGACACAAGAAAACCTAATTGGACCTCCTCTGAAAATCACATTGATGCTGATATTAATATCAATACATTACAATATTTTGATGGTGGGTATTTAATTTCGGCAAAGTCGAATACAAACTTTATTTTTCAATACTAGAGGATTTTACATTTCTAACTTTCTACAAATCTGAGTGATACCGGTAAAGGTAAATTACCTTGTTCTGAATGCACATAAAATTTTAAATTAATACTACGAATATAATAACATGTTCCAAAACTAACATGTATTTTGTGTAAAGTTCCAAATATTTTTCAAAGAATAGGTTCTAAATTGATGTACGGATAATTGAATTGGTATCTGTTATAATTATTAGTTCACATGGAACAGTATGAGGTTTTAAAAAGTGCTTATGTCTAATTTCGGAACTTGATATTTATTTAGGAAGTAAGTATGTATTTAAAAAGTTTCAGAAATTATGCAATTTTGAAAGTTTTTATTTAAAAATTGGAATTAATTGGATTGTTTTAATTTAAATATATCTTCTGTCTTCTAAATTTCCACAAAATTAAACAATTTTCTTTACAAATATGATGATTTAAAGATTTTCATATATAAAATAAATAAATTCATGTAATCCCGAAATCCCGTAAAATCCCGAAATCCCGAAAAATCCCGGGATCCCGAAAAATCCCGGGATCCCGGGATTGCAATTTTCAAAATCCCGAATCCCGGGATTTGTAAAAGCCAGTCCCGTTTGGCATCCCTACTAGTAACTAATCTATTCCATAAAGTGTTTGGAACAAATATTTTCATAAGAAGATCAAAAAGTTGCTTAAGTTAATTCAGTTATTATTTTCTTGTAACTCACATCGAAATGGAATTAAAATTTGGTTGTTGTTATTATAATGTACACACATAATATTATTATTATCAATTATATAATTTTGAATAAATCTATTAATATAGAAAATATAGCGCTTTGTATACAGTGCCAAAAAAAGTTGCTTAGGTTTCGAACAATACTGTACGTTTTGAAGATGTAATGTGTCGTACTGTTCATTGCACAACATTCATTATAACAGACTTCATGAAAATCGTATTAGTACTTTTTTGTAAGCTTGAACGTAAATTTGGTACAATAATTGTTTTACAAAAAGTTTTCTTAAAAAAGGGCGTGGCGTCCGATCCAGATCTTATATAGTTTCTAGTTCCCTTATATAGTTTCTAGTTCCCCTCAGGTCAGACCTATCGGTATACAAAATTTAATGTAAATCGGTTCAGTAGTTTTCAGTAAGTCTCGAATGAAAATTTTTTTATAGCAATTATATAGAAATAAGTGAGCATAAGAAGAATCGTGACGTCCAATCATGATTTTATATAGCCTATTGTTCCACATTAGAATAGAATTGTTAGTGTTATAAAATGTAAATCGGTTCAATAGTTTGGCCGTGTAAGCGTAACAAACTGACAGTCTCTTTTATATAATTGTAGGATAGGATATAAAAAGTAGGCATAGAAGGGGGCGTGGCATTGGATGAATATCTTATATATAGCCTATAGTTCTTTCCGAGCTTATACCTATCGGTATGCAAAATTTCATGTAAATCTGTTTAGTAGTTTTTGCATAATGTGATTGCAAAATTAGTGTAATAATAGTTTTACAAACAGTGGGCGTAAAAAAGGGCGTGGCATCCGATCATGATCTTATATAGCCTATTGTTCCTTTTGGGATTAGACCTATTAGTGGTCCAAATTTCATGTAAATCGGTTGAGCAGTATATATAAAAGCAGCAAATATATAAATATTTTAAATATTCCTTTGAAACTGTTAGTCCTTTAATTTTTGAAGCACTGTTATAAGGATATAAGAGCTGATTATAAAAATCAAAGTATGCAGAATTGCTATAAATGGTCTCTAGTTTCACGTGCATATCAACTTTTTTTTTTTTAAATTGTTACAGGGTGTATTAAATTAGAATTATATTAAAAAAACCAAAAAATATTTGTTTAATTTATTTGAATAAAATTAAAATAGATTTATTTTCGACTAGATTTGTGTACTCGAGAGAATTCGTTTTTAAGCGAGAATTTTACTCGGATTCGGTTTACAGAACAGACAGGTATATAAATTTTAGAACATGTCAATTTTTTAAGGGATACCATAATAATTAACAAAATTATGAGCTCTAAAGCACGCTGTCAAATTCCATATATGTATAACAAAACAAGCTGCATTAACAAAAAACAATTAGGTGTTCTCTTAACACTACCTTATAATCAAAATACCTTTCTTACTTCAAAGTTCCAGCAAAATTCGTTCAGTCCAGGCTGCATATTAATTTCCTTTAAAATGTTAATAAAATTCTTTGTCGCCCTGTGTTATGTTTTGACCCATTTTAAGTGTTAAAATATATGTATGTATGTATTTATACATATTTGTTTGCTTTAAACAATAAATTATATACAAAATTATATTTATTATTTGTTGACTAATAGAACATGCATAAAAATGTTGTTGTTAATGTTAGCGTTAAAATTATTTTAGAATATTGTATTAATATATAAATTAAGAACAAGTGTGTGTTTGTCAATCAGCATGTTTTTATATCTCTCTTTAATCTCTACGATATTTACATACTCATAAGAGAAATTGTCAGACTCAAATGTTTGTTGGCACAATTATGGCGCTCGCAACTGATTTTTTTGCTGTCAGGCAAATTTGTTTCGTGGGGATGGACCAGCGCATGTTAATATGCTGTGGGGGTTAGTTAGATCGCATTTTAATTTAGAAACGAGCGGAAAATAATTCTATATATTTTGAAATAAAACACTCGGGGAACAGCTTATGTATCTGTAAAATTATAAATAATTAATGAAAATCAAATAAAACAAACAAAAAATCGAATGGAGGAAAAACAATTTGAATAACGAATGATAACAATAATAAAACATAGAAATGTTTAAAAGTGCAAGTACCTCGAGTTTAAATGTAACAGATGAAAGCAGTGGCAATATGAGCGGCAGTGTTAAAAAATCCCAAACCACTGCCAATTGTGTTGTGGAAAAAAAGCGTGGTTTTAAACCTAGTGATCGTCACGATCCCAACAAAAAACAATTCTTGACTGAATTAAGTCAACAAATATGGCAGAAAAATAACAATACTGTAAGTTTTGGCAGCTCGAATTTTGCCAAATCAAAACGTTTCACTGCATTTTAAATTAAAAAATCGGAATTATACACGTATTTAGCTTCTTCCCAAACATTTGGAAATGCATATTTTTGACTTTTTGTAAAGTTTTAATTAAAATTTTTACTAAAAACCTGTTTTTTGTTTATTTATGTATGTACAAAACTTTGACAGAAAGTCCGAAGAAGGTTAAACAAACTCAATGGGAATAATAAGAACGAAATTGAATTGAATAATATGAATGGATCTGATACATATGTATAACAGATATCGACTTTTGATATCAATATTAAAATTTTGTATAACTTATAAATTATGTTCATACTTTTATAAAAATTATTTTCTAATTTTATAAACTTAAAGCATCGTCTTTCAATTCATTAACATTAGATTTAATTTCAATACAAATGTTTGAGAGGTAATGTCAATTTTAAACAATATCCAAGCAATGCTCACAGATAAATTTCACTTAAAGTAATCCAGTTTTCTAAAACAAATATAAAAGCTCGTAATTTAATAATTTAAATTTTTGAATAACTCTTCTAAAAGAAATATCCATAAATGAGAAATAATCAGTAAATTTCCCAATCTGATTCCGACGTTAATATTGTGAAATGTAATCTTTAATTTCAATCCTTGCACCCGTTAAATAAATGAAGATATTGAACCAGAGTATGGTACCTAGTGCAATATCTGCCAACGTACAAAATTTGTATGCACTTTATCAACAACATTATTTTCTAACATAAAAACACACAAATTACTACATACTGGTATGAACTCGTCTATTGTGTATAAGCAAAAGTATTTATTGTCCACTGCAGGATGAAATGATAAGGTACTATAACCCCTTATTAGATTAGATCGACCAATAAAAGTGATTTTGTTAATATTCTCTTAAAAATTTTAAATTGTAGTATGGAGTCTGATTTTAAATTTTTATGAAAACGTATTCAAGGTATCCTTATTTCCAATTGTAAGCTAGAATTTGTAATTTTCTTAAGATATTCTTAAAAATGTTTAGTTTTTTTAGAATACATATGGTTAAAACTAAACAATTAACAATTTGGGAGTGGAAAAACACTTTCACATTCATTTAAATGAGAATTTTCGTAATTTGTAGAGTATCAAAAATCGGTAAAACCGTATATAGTATTATGACTTTTATTTTTAATTAGTAAATCTAAAACTTAAGTTTGCCATAATTAAAAATAATTTTATTTATAAATGTTAGGAATCTACCAATGTAACGAAGAAAATTGATTTACATAAAATCTTTACGCCAGCCACAGATGCTGAGGAAATTTTGCCTAAAAATCGTAAGTACTTTAAAACCATTACCGAAAAATGCAGTGGTTATTATGTTGTTGTTATTGTTTTACTATTTATTTACATTTGAGACGAAATTTTAAAAGTTTTCTGTTTCAATTATTCAGATAAAATTGGACTCAGTAATAAATTATGTAAGCCAGGTCTACTGATCACGCAGTAGACAGAACTGACTACTTTGCCTTCTTACATACCGTATTCGCTTAATATGTACCTTTAACTAGTGTTAAATTTTAGTCCAATCGGATAAAGCGAACGTGCCGGAAATCTATTGAAATGTTGAAAATTGGGTAAATAATAGGACTTTTTTAATTTCTGAAAATAAAAAAAAAAATTACCATATACTTTTAACATTACAACCAATTTTTTAAGAAATTAAAAAAAAGTCTTATTATTTACCCAATTTTACACTTTGCGATCATTTTCGGCACGGGTTCCCGTTATCCGATTGGACTAAAATTTACCACCAGTTAGTTTTAGACACTAATGAACAAAATAAGACTCATATAACAATATAGATTTTTTTAGACACCTCCAATGTACATATAAAATATTTGGTATTATCTTTAGCATTATGATAATGTTAATTAGAAATAACTAATTTTCATGTTAGCATCTATATTTTTAGCTATAACTTTATAATTACAATAAATGTAAAGAAAATATTTTATAATATCTAAGATAATTTTTCTGCTTTGTGAAATTTCAAATTTACAATATAATTGTTAAATAATAAGTAATTGTGTCAACAATTGATATTTTTCCACAAAACCACAATTATTGAGAAATTATGATGACATTAACACAATAAAAGATTTGTCCACAAAAACATAACTATTCCTTTAGCAGAATATCATAAAAAACGATATTTACCAACTTTGTCCAAACGCGTTATTTCAATTCTAGCAACATTTATAATAAAAAAGTTTATAACAATTTTCGTTTTCAAAATTTCGTTATATTAAAAAAATCAAACAACTGAAACCACTGTATTTTTAATAAATAATACTTATTATATAGTAAATATTATAAAATCTTGTGAAACCAGCAAGTAAATGAAGAATTTTTAGAAATCTTTAAAATGTATTTTATGTGTTTAAAGTTTCAATTTAGACATACATAAGTATGTACATACATAAGTATTACAGAAAAAATTCATTTGCTTATGACTGGTTCACATAAGGTTCGTTTGTAAATGCAGTGATGTATAAATGTAATCCAAACTTGAATCGAGATACTCTGATAAATATTATTGCATTTATAAACGCTTCCTTTATTAATTTAGGAAAATAAAATAAGTATGTGATACATAATTAAGTAGTTAATTTATAAAAAATTTAAGTATATGAAATAAATATAAAGTATTAGTCTACTACCCATTTCAAAAACATGAAACAGAACTTTATGCAAACAAAAACTAGAATAAGTAATACTAATTTTAAAATTCATTTTGCTATTATTAAAAAACTGCAGCAATTCAAGAACTTATATTAAGCTTTTTCTATTATAATATATTATTAAATGCTTGCCAATATTTCGTTCACATATCTACTAATTCTACTTAATATTTTCTTTTAACACCTCTTTTTTTTGTAACAATGAAGCAACATATTTATATAATTATCATCATAAACTAATATTATTTTATTTAATTCGTTAACATAAATGTCATCCATTTTCATCATAATTGAATATTTTGAAGAAGTCGTTCAATAAAGACGTAATTAAATGAGTTAATAAAAATAAAACATTTTGATTGCAAACATGATTTTTACAAAATATATACATATGTATACCAGTTAGGGTGATCGATTATTCGACATTTTCCAAAAACCGGTTTTCGAATAGATGACATTTAAAAAAACCGGTTGATATTTTTCAAATTCAGAAAAAACCGGTTAACCGGTTTTTCATTATAAATAAAAAAATATATTTTAATTTGAAAAACTTAATGTGATTAATGTGAAATGATTTTTAACAGTTTAAAAGATTATCCCCCTTATTCACAAACAAAATTTTTATTTTATAAACAGTTTAAAAATAAGATTTTATATGGAAATTTTGTTTTATAAACCTTTTATAAAATAAAAATGTTGTTTAGATCTAGTCGTCTGATTTACATTATTTCATTAATATAAAAAAATTAGGAAAAAAGTGGGACACTTCTGTTAAACATAAGGTACTATGTAATCCTAGCTTATTTTAAAAGCCCTGTTTAGGAAATTTGCATAGGCATTCCAACACTTCCATAAAATTTCAGCCGTAAATTAATTATTGTAATTGGAATATAATCTTAAGATTGATAAAATTTTATCAAACAGTTATCAATTTTACAAATATTTTTTTTTAATTAATTAGGAAAATCAAAAAAGTTTAACCAAAGGAGCTGTAGAAAAATATACGCTAGTTCCTCGACTCGAATATTTTTAAAATTTAGACGGGCTGTATTATTATTTACTTAAAAATTATATTTAAATAATCTTTGAATACAAAGCAAATGAAAGTATTCGAAACCGGTTTTTAAAAAGTGAAAAAACCGGGTTATTCGATATTCGAAAAATCAACATTAAGAAAAAACCGACACTGGTAAAGCAGAAAAAACCGGTTTTAAAACCGGTTGAAAAATCGAGTCGATCACCCTAATACCAGTAGTTCACTTAAGGACCAAGAAGTAAAAAAAGGAACAGCGTTAAAACATATGTAGATAGAAATGTTTAAAAATCACATCTCGATTTGACAACTCTTAATCTAACAGAATCAGGCATTAATATCAGTTATAGAAGGAACTGTATTCATTAATACTGTTTAGTGGTAAAAATACAGTAGTATTGGACAAGTTTCTATGAGCGGGTTATTCCCTACTCTTATAATCCTTCCTAAGTCCTAGGCCTAGACTAGTGATGCAGTCGATGAAGAATAAGTAATTATTAGAATTGTCCATTCTTGCATTGAGTTGGAGCAACATTCACAAAAGTTTCTAAAATAGTATAAAACAACAAATAATTACCCCTTTTACCGTTTATTTTTAATTACCCAAAACATGACATTTATTGTTCTATGTTACATTAAAATATTAATTCATATTTAAACTTTTTGAACATATTCACGATTTCTTTTTTACCCGTTTTAGCCCTAAGGGTTAACGTAATAAGGGTAAATGTAATAAGTGTTTCTTAAATTTTAAAAAGCTACATAAATAATAAATTATCGCTCTTGAACAAACAATATAAGACAATAAATAAATATTTCTCCCCAGTTTTTCTCCCTTTTCCACCATATCCCTATTGCTATTGACGCTTCCAGACAAACGTGATTGCGGAACAAACTATATTTATAATATATGTATTTTAGGATTTTTAATTAATAGGGGCTTTTTTTAAACACTGGATACATTTTTGGATTTATTTTATTTCAAGAAAAAATCTTTCTTTGGAGGCGGAAATTTAGCTTTGGTCATCATTATCTGAAAATACACTGTATAAGCTAACATAAGGTCAAAGAAAAATTTATTTTAGTGCAAAAATGGCGGTTCTGCAGCTAAAAGAAGTAAATCCAAATTAAATTTATTAAATCCAAAAAAATTGTTGGATTTAGCTAATTTCAATATGGCAATGCTTTGTATTCATAGAACAAAACCAAAACAATTTCAATAGAAATTAATTTGTTTTATATTGCTATTCACCAATAGATGGCAAATATGTTTTAAAATGTATAAAAATAGTAAAATAAACAAAATTTCTGTAACTTAAATAGTGCACTTCATGATATTTCAGTGCAAATACCAATTTTGCAACAAATTGTTGCAAATTTTATGGAAAATTTATAATTTAATATAATTTAATAATTTTAAAAATTATTATTGATTTTTCAACACAGAAAACAATCAATAATGTAAAATTTAATTGTCACGAAAATAAAATGATTCTTAGTGCCCTAAAGGTCCTTTTCAGCTTTTTTGGTAGTTCTTTTTCGCTTTGGAATCTTTTTAGATGGGTATAAACAGTTTTATAATCTGGACTATACACAAATTCTGTGTGTACACTAGAGGTGTCCAAAAAATATCGATTTTGGTTAGATGGGTCTTATTTTGTTTATGAGTGTCTATAACTGGTTTTAAGCTTTAATCAAATCGAACAATGATAACCCGTGCCGGGGGGTAAAGACCAATTACAATTACTTGTAATTGTAATTGAAGTTTTGCCAATTACAATTACTTGTAATTGTAAATGAAAGAAATAGCTATCTGAACTCCTTTGGACAATTTTTGCTAGGACCAATAGGTGTAAAGTTACACTCATTTGAAAAAACCCTGTATGCTTAAAATTTCCAACTTTGACCCCCTCTACCTCCGACAGAGCTAAAAGTTTGTGTCTGGCCTACCATCCAATAGTACTAACCTTGGTGCAAATTTCACTCAAATCGGTTTTTTGAGTTGGACACTTGTTAAAAATTTATTTTGAATAAGAATATGGATAATTTCATGTCAAGCGACCCAACTCAAAATTTTGACGAAATTTGTACCTGGGTTAGTACTATTGGATAGTAGGCCAGAAACAACTTTTTTTATTTATTTTTTATTAATTTTTATTTCTTATTTTTTTTCAAAATGGGCCCTTTTTTTTAAAAGATAGCTTATAAAATTTCCTTTAAGGGCTTTATATCCCATAATGGGATGCTAGTGGGATATTTATAAAAAAAATATTTTTTAACTCAATATAATATTTGACACTTAATATTCCCCTGTTTTTCCAAAATGGACGTAAAGAAAATTGTATAAGCTTTCTTTTAAGCAAAAAAAGTCCCATTTTTAAAAAATATTAAAAATAATTATTATTATTTTTTTTTTTTGAAACAATAAAAAATACCTATCTGAGCTCCTTTGGACAATTTTTGCTAGGACTAGAGAAAAGTTACACTCATTTGAATAAAACCCTGTATGACGAAAATATCCAACTTTAACCCTTTCTAACGCCAGCAGTTCTTGACCGAT